AGTGGGTGGATGGATGGATGGTGGATGGATGGATGGATGGATGGATGGATGGATGGATAACTGTGTGTAATTAGAAGCTGATTCTAATAAAAAGCCTTGTGTGACATTTTAAGTTCATTGTACTTTCTTGTCATTCACATCACATGTGGTACATGAGGTGGAACTAAACTGTGTACTCGGGGTCCCAGTTAAACCCAAAAATAGTAAAAATATAAAGTATAAAAAGAAACAGTATATGAGGATCTGCACAGATGTCAAACCAAAGAGCCGTGGGCCAAATCTGGTCACTCAACATGTTAATTTAAATGTAAAATATTGTATCTCTTCTCATTTTTCTTTAAAAAAATCGATAAATGTATCATTTAGTATAGACGTCTCTTACCAGCTGGATAATTCTGAAGCCAGAAAAAAGGTTGGATCATTCCATCATTATTGATTCTGATGTGGAAAGAGCAACAGCAGCACGAACATGAGTCTGTGTGAGCAGATGAGTACGAATGAATATGAATATTTCCATTTAAGCACAAAATATAGATTTAATTTAAAAATCAATGCTTCCTATTTTATTGAAAAGTTTACAAAATATAACTGTAGTTTTAAATATTTGTAAAGAAAAATGTTCCAAGTTTAAATGTATTTCTGGTTGTCTCCCACGTTAGTCCTCTTTAAAGTTTATAAGCGCTGCCTTCGTCTCCTTCAGTGTGTTTTCTTTGACAAAATATGATTAATTACGAATGTTGATGTGAGATTTCCACATTCATTATCAGACATGTGCAAGAACCCTGACCAGTCAGGATAACTTTAAACTCACTGAAGACAGCAGGCGTCTATCGAACCCGTCCACACAGTCGATAACTCTTCATCGTAAACATATCGGAGGCTTGTTTGGACCGACTCCAGCTGCTGCTGTCAGCCTGTTTAGATGGAACATCCTTCAGAGCATTCACACCCTGACGCTGTCTGTAAACACACTTTACATTCTTGTGTGTGCAGGAAGCTTCACTGTATGAGGAACTACATCCATCTGAACCTGTTTGTGTCCTTCATGCTGCGAGCCGGGGCAGTCCTCACCAAAGACACGCTGCTGTTCTCTGAGGCTGAAACCACAGACTGCAGCACACAGCCCTCACTGGTGACCACACAAACCACAGACTGCAGCACACAACCCTCACTGGTGACCACACAAACCACAGACTGCAGCACACAACCCTCACTGGTGACCACACAAACCACAGACTGCAGCACACAACCCTCACTGGTGACCACACAAACCACAGACTGCAGCACACAACACTCACTGGTGACCACACAAACACAAAACCCCCAATCAGACTCCAAGCAGA